ATGTGCTCTGAGCTGGGAGAGAGAGGGGTTGATGTGCTCTGAGCTGGGAGAGCGGCTCGGTCAGTGTCTCACCCTCCACCAGCGCGGTCAGCAGGGTGACGTTGGCAGCTTTGCGCCTGCCAGCCGGGAGGTTCAGCCCGATCTTCTCCAGTCGCTCTCTCAGACACCGGCCTCCGTTCTTGGACTTTGCCCTGGGTGGAAAGGAGGGGGTTACCGTGAGGAAGAGAGACCCACAAGTCCGAGATTCCTCCATCGCCTGCCCCCCTCTCCCTCGGCCCGGGACCCTCACCTGCGCAGGACACCCCCCAGGAGGGACGCATTGAGACACTCTGGGGGAGACAGGCGCCGCTGCACCTCCCCTACTGTCACCTTGTACTTGGAGGTGGAGCTGAGCAGAGACAGGCGTCCTGGGACAGAGCAGAACACCTCACTGGGGTTCGACACCCCCCCCAGCACCCCCTCTTTACTGAAGGCCAGTGTGGACAGACAGCTGCTGCTCATCTTGGAGGGCACAGGCACTGTGGAGAGAGGGAGACAGCTGGGTACAGTGGAGTGGTGCCCTGGATTAACCTCATCTGCACCTTTTAGGATACTGAAGGCTTGAAGAAAATCTCTTCTTGTCCTGCTATGTTCTAGACTGAAGGTATTAAGTTCCCTTCATCTTGTCTATATATGACAATCCTCTTGAGGCCAGGAATCATTTTCCTTTCAACTTTTTTTCGTGGCTATAATGACCTTCCTGCAGAACTAATTCCCCCTTTCGATATGTATAGCCCCCCCGGCTGCAAGAATTATCAGTGTTTATTTTATTACACACCTCTGTTTCTGTATTTGCCATTTCCATTTTTGTATCTGCAAATGTAACTAGTTTGCTAATTATATCAGAATTGAAATTGTTAATACAGAAGAGCAATATGCCAAAAACAGGTCCCTGTGGAACACCCCTGCTGACACCTGCCCACTCAGACCACTGCTGAAACCAGTCCCATCAGAAAGAAAGATGATGCGCTGTTCCTGTTCCGTTATCCACCCATCGGCCTCATTGACTTGGATTCCTATGGCTTTTAATCTGAAAATTAACATTTTACAAGGGACATTATGCGAAGCTGCCTGGACGTGATTTAAAGTAGCACATCTTATTATGGTCAAGATATCCCTGCTGTTCCATCACTCTTTTCCACAGAGATGGGAGAAGGAGACGAGTGAGAGAGGGGAGCCAGGTGAGGGCAGGGTTATTATTATTGTCTAACAAGTTACATTTTAAACAAGTCGCGGGCTTGTTATTAGCCCTCCTGCCCCGAGGGAGCAGTGCTCCGAGCTGTGGGTGTGTGGAGCCCACAGGGAGGGGAGGAGGAGGGGCTGTGTGGAGCCGCTCTCGCCTCAGCCCTGTCCCCTGGGCCGCAGCAGAGCTCCTGCTCCCGGCTGCCATGAGAACCGGCCTGCTGCCCTGCTTCAACCCTCCTGCCAAATACACTGGGGCTGCTTCTCCACCTCGGCTCCTCGCCTGGACCTGAAGGAATGGCCGTTTCGGACGTACCCCTTCAGACCCTCACAGCCTGCTGAAACCTTGGGCGTATTTCAGCATGATTAATTAGAAAGGCTTAACGACGTTAAATTAGCAAAAGGCCACCTAGTTGTGGAACATGAGGAACTGAGAATGAAGGGATTCAGCCAGACAGGCGTTTCTGGTGCGTCACAGCCAGGAGCTGTCTGCCACGGCTGGGCTGGACAGTGGCCAGACCGCCTCCTGCCCGCACTGGAAGATTAGCTTTATTCATTTATCTGTGCTATTATTTCTCCTTTTTACATGTGGATTTACATATTAATCTACTGCTCTGTAGGCGCAGTAATGCAGCCGGGGGCAGGAATCTGAGAGAACACTTTCTGGGAAGAGGAGCTGGCCGAACTCAGGGGCGTCTGGCTAGTCTTCCTCTCCTCACACAGGGCCCTGATGATGATGATGACTGGCTGCTGCGCTGCTGTGCGGTGCAGCTCTGAGCGGGCGTGGCCATGTGCAGTGTGCAGCCCGCCTCGCTGCCGCCCCCTGCTGAGACGCCTGGGCTCCTGTACAGAGCCGGGACCGCTAATCCCAGAGGCAGAGCCAGGATCCCCACAGAACTGAGGGCTTTAACTGCCAAGTCAGCCAGCTTCTCTGCTCACGAATCACTGCTTATCTGTTGGTGTGTGTGGCTTGTTCATGTATACTGATACCTTGTGATTGAAAGGATCTAATCTTTGTTGTTGATATGTGGCCAACATTTTTACAAGATATGCAAAATGAAAAAATGAGGTCTCTTTGTTACATAGGAACCCTTTAACAATAAAAAGAGGACTACAGTCCCAGTGCAGTAGACCAGTCTGTTACAATAGGAGCTACAGTCCCAGTGCAGTAGAACAGTCCTGTTACAATAGGAGCTACAGTCCCAGTGCAGTAGAACAGTCCTGTTACAATAGGAGCTACAGTCCCAGTACAGTAGACCAGTCTGTGACAATAGGAGCTACAGTCCCAGTGGACATATGTGTGTTGCAATGAATCGTTCTGCCTCTGTCTCTCATTTCTTTCTCTCTCCTCTACTCCAGAATCCATTATTAGTGATTGATGTATCCACTGCCAGTGAGGCTGTGTGAGTAGCCTCAGGCAGCCTGGCACGGCAGGGGTTAATCCATCAAGCCAACGGAGGCACCTGCCCTAGCCCTGAGTAACCCCGGTAACCCCACAGTGACAGGCTGAAGACAGCAGAGTGGAGAAGGACAGGCGTCCCTCCTGTTGCTTTGGCAACACTGAACGACACCCATCTTGCCAATAGCAAGATATAGCTCATTTGGAGAGAGAAGGGACTGGAGAGAGGAGAGAGGAGAAGGGAGAGGAGAGAGGAGAAGAGACTGG